CGGGAGGGACACGTCACCGGCTGCAGTCTTATTACAAGTGATCTTAGCAAAACTACCCGCCTGGCGCCCGAAACTTCATGTACCGGGTCTCGGGAGATTCCACATCCCTGCCACCCCTCTGCTCCCTGCCGCCCCAAAGCCTGGCCTCGGTGGCCTTGTGGCAAATGCGAGTACAGGGTTCCTTTTTGGAGATGCAATCAGCTGAGAAGGGTTGACGGATGGAGAGATTCTGTACTGTAATAGGAGCGCACGTTGGTACATAAGAGAAGCAGCAGCCATGATTGGACTCCGCAGAATCACACTTACATGGAACGAATTCTGGATTCCTGTTTTTCTTCAGGTTGGTGTCATTCTTGGCGAGGGAGCAAGCATTGGGCTCTGCTTGATATGCACACAGTGCCTGCCACTCCTTTGCTAGGCGGTCTCTGTTTCTCAAATGATCTTCCATGTATGCCTGAAAGGGGGTACAGAAGTATATGGGAGGGATATAATATTAACATCAAACAACTTGGCAGTCTATCACAGACAGGTCAACAGGCAACTGATGACACTTGAATGATAGGCTGACAACGGTGGTGCTAATTGCGGGGCAGTGGCTTAGCATTGTCAGCCTGCGGAGGGAACTGATGTTAATGGCGGGATCTACTATAAAAGGAACTTTGCAATGAATACACAAATAATTATTTGATTAAAGGGCATCTATAGCCAATATAGCCAAAACATATTTTTAGTATTGGATAGAATAGGGAAGGATTAGAACACCAGTCAAGTTTTACAGCCTTTGGATGCTCCATTGGAGAGATTCCTTCACTTTCTGTCTGATAAAAAGGTTGTTCCCAGGAGAGGAAGTAAAAATGCTTTTTTCAATAAAATCCTTGTTGCATTTCAGTGCTGCCGATCTCCTACGGCCACTTCCTGTCTACTTGCACTCAGGCAATGGATGCATGGAACTTCTCAGGGTAGGTTTTCTGATAGCAACAACAGTGGGGCATGCCTGTGCAATGAGTGTCAGCACAGCTGCTTTTAATCTCTATTGTGGGAGTGTATGACAGGGCTGTGAGATCACGGCTGGCTCCGCCCAGCTGTCATTTGCGGGGCTGTCATTTGCCGTTCACCCCGCTTCGGCTGACACTTCGAGCCGAAGCAAATGCCTTTGGCTCGGCTGAGACGCTCGGCCACCTTTGGCTGCTGTACGGGCTATAGTCAATAGCCCGTACAGCAGCCCTTCAGCTCGAAGAGAGCCGAAGAATCAGCTGAAGCTACGGCTGGATCCTTCGACTCCTTTGTGGATAACCCCCTACAAAATAATGCCCTAAATAGGGCCGTCCCTATAATGAGGTCGTTTGAGGTGGTTGCTCTCAGGGGGCATCTCATTGGGTCATGTGGGGCAAGTTGCATTCGTGCCTGCTGCTCACTTTCCGGCCAAAGCGTCCCAGGTTGCTAAGAGCTCTTAGGTTGGGGTCCCAGTCAGCTCCTGGCTACCAGAGAGCTGAGCGGAAGGCTGTGCATCATGAGCCAGCCACCCCCCGAAATGTCCACCA